AACAGCGTCTTTATTAGTCTGAAGAATTCAAATTGTTATGTTTATGTGCAATCACGTCACTCAGTGTACAAGATTTTACTCAAATTTAACTCACAAAAGGCTTATTGACCAGAGTAATGTGGCGGTCTCCGTCGATGGAGCCTCTGGCTTGCCCTCGGCCGACCCAACGAGCGGCTGAAGAGGCGACGAGGGGGACAGGTCCGTTTGGAGGCAGTCTGCTGCAGGTGCCAAAGCTGCCTGGTACACTACAGGCTCGCTACTCGGCAGATTAGCGATGGGGCTTCAACCTATAGGTTAGGCCTTCTGAGGGAAACTCTGACACAAAGTGCAACAATGACATGGGCCGGATTCTTCTGATTAGTGAAAGTGCTCCCCTATTCAGGTGATTCGGCTTATAATTTATGATATACAACTGGTCAATAAGTAATCACTCGAAATACTGGCAACTAACGATTAAAATGCTGAAAATTTATAGTGGTGGGGATGCTCAACCGAAGCTGACTGGGTCTTGCTTCACTCTAACGGACAGACGTTGCCATGAAACTAACCTACGGCGCTGTCAATCTCCTAGCCTGTTCCCGCGCCGGACGATCTTTTACAGAGACACCGATCTGCCCGTGCGTGGTTCTTAGCAGTCAACCAACGGAAGAGACCGATCTGGCAGCGCAGCGTGAGCTGGCAGCGTGAGCCTTTTATAACCACTTCAGCCACAGGGTGCTAACAAGGCCAGCGCTCTAAATCGTGCAAAGACGTCAAGCAATAAGACTCATTGGCATGATTTTTGCAGAACAATTATGGGATGTAAAAAACCACTAAAGGGGGTGCATGGTTTGGCTTTCAGAGATCCTGCAGGTTTGGCTATTTGGGGGTTACAAGCCTAATCACTGAATCAAGACGATTACGTCATTGGTAAACATCCTCTAGTAATTAACATATTCCGTTCAGGAAGAAGTAATCATGTTATCGGTCTTGATCTAGAAACTGCATTTATGGTTGTATAATTAATAACTGTTTTTGTGAGAATGTATTTGGTGGTTTTTAAAGGCAGTTGAGAAACCAAACTTTATAATTAAACTTTCCGTTGCCGCGCGATACTATCTGTGATGCACCGTCTTGGTATGTGTGTACGTGCAGTTTCTTCCCCTTTCCAGACCGATCTTCAAACTGTGAGTGCTGTGGATATTTTCCTCGTACAAAATGCATAATTTTAATAGCTAAATAGGGCATTTCCTGCCTAACCATCGGCTCACATTCTCGCAGCATTACCAATTTAGTCTCTGTGTGAATCTTGAGTACATATTTTGGTTATAAAAATGTGAATTTTATCGTTGATTTGTCGACTGAATTCGCGGCGAACTTTTACGTTCACTCACTTGGTCGAATGTAGTGCACTCCCACATGATATGCATATAGCACTGTACTATCGTTGTAGAACTAAACCCTGGGTTGGTCTCTTGGTTATATTGCTTCAGTGTTTGGTGTGCTTGACAGATTTAGCTTGGCGTTTGGGGAACTGAACTGACCCGAATGGAACTGAATGGAACTGAACTGAGTCAATCAGATTAAGAACTTACACGTAGGCTAACTAAACTACTTGCATAATAAATTATACGTATAAATTCAGATATTCATAGGGGTTTTTAATTCATGTCTATCATCTGGTATTGAAAATGTGAAAGTCATTGTATATTATCACTGTTCACAGTGCCAGACTGTTTGTCAGATTCGGTATTCATTCATTTCTCTGTCAATCGTCAAGTTTTTGAGAGCCAATCAATAATTAAATTATTTTGATTATTTTCTTGTATGGTGGGATATATCTGACTCCTGTTTTAAAGTTTGTATTGTCTGTTGTCCAACCCGGCCTTTGCTATCCGTAACTAATTACTTGGCGGGCCTTCCTACCCAACATGTGGTGTATATAACATTATCCCATGGTAATTCCCATGGACCGCAGATGTCGCACCATTGCTAGGTTTGACTCAAGTCGGGATCCTCCGTGACGTTGTCTGCGTTTATGCTTTTGATATGGAGGGTGGGCGGCGTTACTTGCTTTGCGCCCTCTTGTGTCTACTGGTTACTGTGAGTTGAGAAACCCTGACTTGACGAATCTGCAAACCGTATGCAGACAGCGAATCAGCTCATCTACCAAAAAGTAACAGCCAATCAAATTGCAAGACTTGTTTTCACATCGTTCATACCTCCCTTATTATTTTGATTGGAGGAAATTCAAAGTCAGACTACTTTGATTTGTGGGAATTCCGTATACATTATGCGAGATCATGTCGTTCATTTGCAATCATGAGGAGGATGGAAGGAAACTGACTGGTTCTTGTTGAGAAACCCAAGCGTTGGGATGAGACGAATACCATGGGGTTCCCATCGACTGTGGCCATCTGTGATGGACAATGCTTTCAGTTCACTGCCAAGCCGTGAGGTGGTAACTGCTAGTAGGAATGCCAGTTTCACTGATAAGTTGATCAACGATGCGTCGCTGAGAAGCTAAAAGGGGGGGGCAGCAAGCAGTTGGAGAACAGCTGACAAGTCCCATGACGGGATTAGTCTCTTAGTTGGGGGACGCTCAAGAAACATTCCTCGGAGTAGATGTGTCAGAGCAGTATTGTCGGACACGGTCGAACCATCTGGGAAGCCTTCGTGTATAGCCGCAATGGCTGACCGGTATAGTTAAGGAGAGTTGAAACCTGGAGATCTGATTTGAACAGGTGCACGAAGAAGTCAGCTTTAGAAGTCACAGAAACTTCGGTCGGAGAAAGACCTCGCTCTGAACACCACAAAGGAAAATATCGTAGTCTGGAGTCGTTGATGCTGCGAGTAGACTGGCGTTGACACTTCGGGACCATTTCGGCAGCTTCATCAGAAAGTCCTGCTGATCTGAAGGACTGTTTGACAGTAGCCAACAGGTCAGGTGCAGTGACGTTAGATGAGGGTAAAGCACGCCTGACTTCGGTTGATGTAGCAGATGCAGTTTGTTGGGTAGGATCACCGGTACCTGGACGAGAAGTCTGGTCAGATGCGGGAACCATGGGGGCGATGAGAAGGACATGGCAGCGTTCCCGCTCAATCTTGGAGAGAACTGCCCGTATTAGGGATACTGGAGGGAAAGCGTAGGCCAACATCCCTTCCCAGTTTATTTGAAGAGCGTTTGTTGCCCAGGCTTGTGGGTGGTAAAATCTGGTGCAGAACACTGGCAGTTGGGCATTCTCTGCCAAGGCGAAAAGATCGATGTACGGTTTCTCTATTATGGCGAAGATCTGTTCGACTAAACTGGTGAGCAGAGTCCACTCCATGAGATGTACCTTTCCCCGAGAGACAGCATCTGCGATGGAGTTGTCGACACCAGGAATGTGAGTCGCCTGGAGGCAGATGCCACAATCCTGGGCCCAAAGGAATATGTCTCGTCAGGAGGCACAAACGAGGGGAATGCGTGCCTCCCTGGCAATTGATGTATGACACTATTGTGGAGTTGTCCGAGCGTTTGCCTATGATGCTTCGGTGGAAAGCTTTCAGTGCGTTAAATACAGCCTGAAGTTCCAGTATATTGATGTGACTCCCTTGGAGCTGGAGGTCCCATGTTCCCGATGCTTGAAGCGGCGGTAGGGAGGCTCCCCAGCCCAGATGAGCAGCGTCCGAGGTTATAGTTATTTCCAGGTTCACCTTGGGGAAGGGAACTCCCAGAGCGAGGTGTTTCTTCACTAACCACCACTGGAAATGGGGGCGGATGAAGTCCAATACGGGGACATGGAGATTGAGTCCCAGTTTTGCTTGTAGAGCGCTAAGAGATGAAGTTGTAGTGGACGCATGTACAGCCTGCAGAGGGGGATGAGGTCCACCATGCTGGCCATCAAGCCGAGGAGACGGAGCCAGGCGCGGGCCGCAGCAGACTGCTCGGTAGAAAAGACTTTCACACAGTCGAGAAGATTGTCGATGAATTCACTCGTTGGTGAGATTATGCCTTGTTGAAGGTCAATAGATGTCCCCAGATACGTCGGGTATTGCGTTGGGGTGAGATTCGACTTCATGTGGTAGATGATGAAGCCCAGGCGATTCGTGATGTCGAAAGTAAGGCAGGTAGAAACCTCTGCTTTGTTGAACGATCTGCCGACAATCAGCCAGTCGTCAAGGTACTGGAACAGCATGACGTCCCACTTTGGAAGGTGAGTGGCAACAATCTTTGCAACCCTTGAGAACACTCTCGGTGAAGTGGAGAGGCCGAAGGGGAGAGTTGTGAATTCGAAGAGGTCCCAGTTGTATAGGAAGCGTAGGTATTTGTAGCTTCGTGAGTAAATCGGAATGTGGAGTTGGGCATCTTTCAAGTCTATGGAAATGACCCAACATGGAATCTGTAGAGATTGGGAGACCGTCTGAAGGGTCTCCATGCGGAATCTGGTATTCTTGTTTCTATATGTTGTAATTATGATGTATAGAAATAAAAACCAAACCAAACCAAGCGGGATTTTCAGTGCTCTGTAAAACGACTTTACAATTGTAATTTTTCCCGTGCGCATGAGATTGCCCTATCTAATCCATTCTCTTTTCGTGCTGTTTTATTGCAAAAACGATGAATGGGATTTTCTGAAGAAAAAACTGAACAAAGCCAGAAAACCTGAGAGAAAATGATCAAAATCGCACCCCTTTACGTTTTCAATGACCCGCTCACATTTGTTGCCGCCAAGGCCATTTGTGCACGAGTGCATAATTATACATTTATAAATGAAAAGGTCTTTTGGTCGCGAGGGTTATTTCATAGTCAGTCAATTTTTGTTATAGCGTAGGTTTGTATTACATTACCGGTCGAGTATAACCTTCTCGGTCCAACCAAGGACGAGATGCGCCTATGCTTGACTGACCCTAAATAGAATGTCCTACATGACAAGCAATGCCAGCCGGCCAAGTCAGTGCAAACCCTAACCCCATACACAGGGAGGGTTGCAAAAAAAGAACCATAAACTACAGGAAAATTAGAAAACCCGACACGAAAATAATGGTTTGGCAGGATCTATCATCAATACAGAATTTAATGGAATAGAATCTATAATTATATAAAAGTTGACTGCAACAAAAATTTAACTTACTCCGGAGCTCAAACGAAGTGTGTATGAAGGACAACACATGACCAACCGACAGATGACTACTGAAGCCATTTGGGGCTCCCCAAAGCACTGATTCAGTTCCATTTCCAACTTCACCTGATTTGCAACTCTTGATTTTGGAGATTTTAGTTCAGTAAAAAAAAATCATGAATTACTAGAGAATGAACCTTCTGCTACAACCCAGAGAGAGAAGTATGCACATGCGGCGTAGTAACCGATGCCCTTATATTCACACACATGCAGAATTACACATACAATGTACATGTACGTTTGTAATATACATGTATATATAATTTTAAAAAACAATTTTGACAGACTGTGCACAAAATGTGCCATCTTGGTGAAAGAGGATGCAGTAAAAAATGGGCAGACAGCAACAGTAAGTGGAAAACTCTCAATGACTTCAAAGAACCATATTTATTAGGGTTATGTATTGTACATAATCTAAATGAAGGTCCTTACAGGGTCGGGTGATGCTAAATATTGGCATATAGTGCACTGACCCTTGAAATCATAAACCTGAACTCCACAGCCAAACTTGACACAAAACTAGCAGGATATATAATCTATTTTTGTTTGGCAGACTACAGATCATATTTCTTGTCAGACAAATTATTCCAAACTTTAAGCAACTATATTCCCAAGGCGGAGACAAAAACGTCAATCTTCAACTACAATAAAATGAACATGCATGAGCTGTTTCAACGAAATTCAGTCAATCAGGTTTTGATAATTCATGCACTGATTGCAGCTTTGGCACAAACACATGTCTATGCTCACAGCAGACAAAGAACTGATATTATCAAATTCTTATTTCCTCCCTCCTTCCAAGTGTCACACTATGAGTAAAGGCATAATGATAACATTTGGGGCTTTTGATTTAAGTGAAGTTATGGCCAGAATTGAAGCAGAATGGGAGGCGTTTACCAGTAACACTTTTTCAGACATGTAGATGCCTGTGATCAGTACATCCTGATCACAAAGACATATGGAGCACAGACGAATTCAGAGAGTTAAAACAAAAGTTAGCAGGAGCACAGAGGGTAATGTAAAGAATGATGCACTTACTCTACGGGACATTGTGAATCACAAGAGGGTAAATTCTTATGGAAAAGGTCATAGGAAATTAATGGAGATGAGAAGGACGTGTGGTAAGAATCAGTGACCACAAATGGACCAAGTAACTCTAAGAATGGCAGAGAATATGAGAGATGATAAAACAACATCTATGAAGACAGCATCAGGGGCAAAAGAAGCAACAAAAAGAGAACACTGGGGCTTGAGGAAGTTTTTGTCCCACAGTGGATTAACTTTAACCTATTAGATTTGACCTATTGTTTAAATGTGCATGTGCATGCAACTGGCGAACTATAACCTCAGGAGGACTGAAACATTCAGCAGATGGGTTGCGACAATGGCAATAACATTTCATGACTCTTCACAGCTTTCAATTGCTAAAACGGTATGAGATCTCTCTAAAATGCCTATGGTAACATGAATCCTGCACTTACAGTTTTATAGAAAGCACAAAGTAGTAAAAGTCAAATGATAAAACTTGAAAAATCATACTAAAAATTAAGTAAAAACGTTTTGCTTCCTATAATGTCAAGAAGAAAATCCCCAGTTATAAACTGACATAATTGTATCATCCAGTCATTTAATTGTTGGATGTAGGCCTCAGGTAATCCTTGCTTACAACTTCAAATTCACCAGAAGGACCTTGGAATGATTGCACAGGAGAAAATGCACCCCTTTTCCAAAAGCCACTGTGCACAAAACGATACTTTCCAAGTTCAGCATCTTCCGGGATCATCCACTGCACCGTCGCACGGCTCTCTTTTTCTTCCTTTCGCCAAAAGATTCTGGAGATAAAAAAGCAAACAATAAAAACATGAGTGCATCTGCGATCTTAGAGGTTCAAAACCTTTCCTAAAATTACTACTTTCTGACAGAAAAAAACTCAAAGATAGCCATCCCCCATCTTTATAAACTCTGCATAACTGGAGGGGTACAAGTTATAGTAATGTCTCTCATGGTTGGATATGTCATGTCAAAGTTTAAACCAACATGCTACAAACTATAGCAGCCAAAATTAGAAATATGTGACAATCTCATCTTTTGCAAATTCAATCTTTGGTTTCTAGGGAGCTTCCTTTTGTTTAGTGAAAGGTGAAGATTTTTCAAATCAAATACAGTACGATGCTATTACAACAAAATGCTGTACCAAACGATTGGGTTTACCAAATATAGTTGGCTCTCAAATATTCTGTGAGCTCTTAAACATTGAAAAACTGCTTCAAATTTTCAGTGAACTTTTAACAAACAATGAAAATTTGCTTCAACTAAAAGAAACATATTTAGAAGTGATGACAATGAATCAAAGTCCAAAGTATAAATCTTAACTGCGAATTAATGACCAATGATCAGCAGGCGGCACGGTCTGTATTGTTGGTGGGTACATGTGTGTATGAATCGACAGCACTGTAGAACTAGCCCCCTTGTATGTGTGTGCAATTATGGCCAAAAATCCTGCATGTACTCACTGCGAAGGTAAGTGTTTTTGCCTTGCAAAACTCAAAACAGAGAATACATATGTAAATTGACATGTTTGCTTTCACAAATAGCTCCTAGAAATCTTTTTCAATATTTTGCTAGTTTTGATCATTTTCAACAACGCTTGACAACCTTGGTCCTGTGCCATTAAGACTACAGTGCTATTGAATGGTTCCCAGGATATCTATTATAGTTCCATGTTTGCAATGAGAACCAGTACACTCGTACTACATGTCACATGTAATTTTTAAGTGAAGACTCAATGAAAAATTCCTGGGAAACTTTATTTAATTTTGTGATTTGACTTCACTTGAGCACTACCCGAAAGGAGAAAAGATGGAAAGAAATGAACATAAAGTGAAAGAAATACATGAATTTCGGTGTTATTTCTTTTCAATTAGATTTTTACTTTGGAACTTGGGATGGATTGCCTGTTGTCTTGCTGGAAGACAGTGTTTCGGGTAATGTGAACACCTTATGCAATAGGCTTTCGTTTTTGTTGAGGCAATAGGGCGATGCATTGGTAAAAGTATTCACAAGTGAAATAACAGTAAGCAGTATGATCCAGCTTACCATTGAACAGAGTGTTTGTAGTGACTAAATATTATCTTATGGTAATCTTTTTCCTATGTTTTACAAGGTGAAATTTTCCTTGGGCCTTATGTTAGATGTGATCATAATGTTTTAATGTGAAGTGTCTCACAT